CAACCGCAACTCAGAAACTCCAAACTGCCGTGCGATACTATCCGAGAACACTTTCTCGCTGTCACTAACCGTTCGGACACCTCGTCATGTCGGTGGTGTCGCGAATGGATTACGTTGAGGTGTGATGCAGAACTGCCACGTCACATGGCCTCCCTCTCTCTCTCGTCCGTCGCTTCTCCCTCCCCATCTCTCTACATTATGCCAAAGGACTATTTCGACACCTCTCATACACGACGTCCCCCCCTACGTGTTGCGTGGGTCCTTTTGCTTGCGATCGTAGGCCAGGAAAAGGGCACTCCTGTTGTTATTGCGTGGTACTATGTTTACCACTTTATGTTACATTTGATTGTTTTTATGGTCGGTGATTTTGTTTTTGGCGAGTTGAGTTGGTTGATGATTGATATGGGCGCAGTTCTCCTCTACAAATGGGAAACACTACAATTATTTACTGCGCAAAACTGCATACTGGAATTTTTTTTTCGCAAAATTCTGTCTCGAGTTTTAACGGGAAAGGAAAGACTTAAGGCGNTCCGCGCGGTTTGGCTTTATGAAGCAGGCACGCAAACGGTTACGTCATGACGCAAACGATGACGCAATGACGCAGCACCAGTCGGACTCTGGGCAGTGTGAAAAGAGCTAAACCGAAGAACCGGTTCTGAATCTGAAAAGCTCTAGCACGGAGCTTGAACCGGAGTTGCGTTGGTGTGAAAGAGGTACAAGTCTCATTTCATAAAGTACAAAATACGACCTCTACAAGGTCAAGACTTTGTTTGTATCTTGAGATGTATTCATGTCTCCTCTGCTGTGTTTAAACAGTACACAATGGTTCACTCTGTTAAGCGTATCCGTCTCTGGAGCAAAGATGTTTGTCTTTTGTTCTATTTTGTTGAACTTGCAGATAATTTGCTTTTCCTTTCTAGGACCAAGTAGATGCCCTGCGGTGTATCCTCGAATTCACTTCAACTTCAAAGTGAACATTTATTTTTTATCCATGGACTTTATAGTGTAGTTGCAAGCTCATGGAGTCCTGTTGTGAATACGGAAACGTTGAGTACACCAAGGTTTTGAGTTAAAAATGTATAGTACGGGGCCCCGCAACTTGGAAACTGCCGGATGCAAAATTTGCATATGTTGGGCAATTTGCACAATAAGCATGAATTACCATTATAGCCTATGGGGAAAATAGTGTACAAATGGCCGATTTGGACAATTTTGGAGTGATTTGGGGGGTTATTGGGGATGCCGAGTCCAGTTGCGAGATGCTCAGGGTACATTTTTATTAGTTTAACCTGAAAGTTGCCATATTTGTACTCCCAGTGGGCTGATTTTGATACATTTTTGGGACTGCCATTTTTGATAATGAACATGTCAGAATGGATTCAGCATTCTCAACAGAAAAAAAATGTTGTTAGCATCCGGCAGTTTCTATGTGCTGTGGACCAGTACTATACATTTCTAACATTAAACTTTGGCGTCCTCAACATTTCCGGGTTCACTATGCTGGCAACTAGACTATTATAAAGCTCAACAGATTGAAAGATCATTTAGATTGAGGAAATGTGGCGTCATTGTCTAGTCTGGTTTGTCCAGTTGCTGGCTAGCCTTCACAAGCTGCTTTCAATAGGTACAAATGTGACATATTATGTTTCTTTGGTGTCAAATGATGGACAAACAGTTCAAACTCTGCTAAAGACATAAAAACAAGTAATGAAAGAACACCACAGAGTGACTGTACGTTTTGAAAAGGCAAAGAGAGCTAGGGTTCAGGGGACTGGGAAATAGGTGGGTGCAGATGGTAAAGGGATGAATGAACACAATGTGTGTATTCATAGCACACTGTATATGGTTCAAAATGCTGTGTCCTAGTTTCATGTAACTCCCACACCCACTAGATTATAAGGTGGTTGCTGCAATGCAGCGCAGATAAAGAGGATACAAGCCAGCTGATGTTTATTTGTAACTCATTTAAAATTAATCTGGCACTGCAAGATATGTTGGGTTTAATAGACAGAAATCTGAAATTGATTAAATGTTCACCATTTGGCATATACCACTGATATTTTCTTAATTTGAGTGACCGTGGTAAACATGTTCATGCATTTAATTTGAAAAGAAGGTGCATTTTAGTGTATATTTATTGTAACCCCCCCCCAATACACCAGCAAACCTTTCACATCTGTGACTTTAGTCGTTGGATTGTAGGTCCCTGTTTCCAATTCAGCAGGATGTTTTTTCTGCTCCAGTTTGCACATTCCCAGTGCAGGTTCCAAATACACATGTGTCTGCCAGACCTGATGCTACAGAGGTCAACTTCACTCTAGTTCTTACGCGAAATCCATTCCACTGTTGAACTCTTTTTGCCCGTTCTTTGTTAAGTCCAGCCAGGCCCATATGCCCACAGTTAGACAAGGTTAGAGATGTTCCGGGAAACCCTAAGGATGTTTGTAAAGCAAAATATCAAAGTGACCCATAAATTGTAAAGGCTGAAAAAAAACACATGCTCCTAAAGGACTTGACGTATGTTCTGTAATAACTAATGTTGAGCCCCTTATTGTCCACCTTCAGTCTTCCTACCACTCAAAGCTTTTCCTATCCCCTGCTGTTGGACGCCCCCTCAGCTGTTTAGTGATGAGTGCTGCCAATCTGACCCAATTAGAAGCCTCTTGTTCTGAAGCAGAGGAAATAGCTTCACTCTCTACCGTGATCAAACAAGCTACCTCATTAGAGTCTTCTCCCCTGTGTGTGATAACCTCTGTTTCTTTTTCTCTTGTCCTATTTTGTTTCTTAAGTCTCTTTCATTCATTGTCTTTTTGTTACTAAGCGTTTCTAGCAATAGAACATTTACTTCATACAATGAGAAACATTAGCTTTCTATGAGCCTTAAAATAACTACATTTTGATTCTGAAGATAGAAAAATACACCGTCTGACCAAGAAACAGTCGTGCAGATAAACTCCCATAAGAATTACAACCCGTTATGTCACACTTAAATGTTTGTTGTCATTAAACAAACAAGACATGACGTATACAAATATGTGAGATTCAGAGGTGCTGGTAGGCATATGTTTTTATCAAATTGCCACTTTTTCACAACCCTCAGCGTCTCTCTTAACATGGCCCTGCTGATACAGAGGTACAGATACAAGGTTTTGCTCATCCCTGTGTCTTAGGTGGTAGAGTAGAACACTTTCCTGCAGGCCTGTGCGATGATTTGTGCTTTAGTTCACTTGTGAAGTGACTGCTCAGGATACGCTTTTTGTTGCTACTTTTTTGTTTACGAAGAGAGTTGATGCACGCATTTACCGACACAACGTCCAACGCTACAGTCTATGCATGAGGATTGCAAAAGCCCAAAAGAGCCCAAAATAGCATTTTATTGCTGTGACTCCCTGCTTAGTTCTGCGTGATGCAGCTTCCTCTCTTCATTCACCCTCTAGCGCGCACTACCTAAGTTGTGCTTGCTCTGTAACTCTTGCTTCCGCTTCAAGGTGCTAACTGTGAAACGTTTTAAAACAAACAGCAACAGACAATTCTACATACACTACCTTTAAGCACAGCAGAAAAAAAGCCAAACGTTAAACCAATAATGTTGAACATCTTATTGCTGTACCAGCCTCAACTCTTTCTGGAAGGCTTTTAAAATGTTGTTGGGTCCTGGTTGCACAGAAAATAATCAATAATGTTGCCCATAAAGTTCTTTCACACCAAATTGGGAAAACGTTTCTTTATGGACTTTATGGAAGGGGGGGGGCATAGTAATGTTGACACAGAAATGTGTTAAACACAAACTGTTACCACCATGCTGGAAGCAAATTATTGTCCAAAGGATTATTGAAAGCAGAAGTACTATGATTTCAATTGGAACAAACAGACCAAGCCAATCAAAGAAAAACAACTCCAGATTTAGACTACAAACTAGTTTGTGGACTGTACCCAAAAAGGGTGCACATACTTATACATTGTCAACACCATTAATAAAAACAAAGGCTGAAGGAGGTCTAATCCCCATCGCTTTCCCTCTCTCAAGATGTTCATAAACATGCAGTTACTTAATAGCTCACACAAGTGAACTCACGGCCCACATAAAATCTTGACAGCATACTTCATTTAACCTTCAACTTGTTATTCAGTAGGAAAACAGCAGAGACCTTCACCCGATGGAACGATCAGCCTGTTTTGCTGATCTCACAACTCTGAGTACATTCATATGACAGTGACTCATGGATCATTTTACTGTAAAAAAAATGAAAGGAAAGTTCAAATCGATGATCTGTTGCGCAGATGACAAGAAGCCTCCACAAATGAAAGTGGTCAGCAGAAAAACACGTGGCCAATATGAAATTCTGGAACTACATTAAGGTTGTATCATACTTCACAAATAGTTAATAAACACCCAAAACCACAGATGCCAAAGTATTAGTTTAAAAAGCAGTGATTAAAAAGAAACCCTGCATGAATGAAAGAAGAAAGTGTGCTCATGATTCAGTTTTTTTCGAGTTCTTTTTTCTTTCTTTGTGGGAGATATTGCCATAAACACAGATTACATGTTTTCCTGTTAATGGACCTAATAATGGTAACCAACAATGAGCAGATGTGACCGCGAGGTTAAAAACCTTTACAATTCCTTTAAAAAAGATATAACATTTAATAGATCATTTATGAGCTCCCTTCACACTTGTTGAAAACAAGGACACAGTTGAAAGATCGTGTTTTTCTCAAAAGTCTGGAATCTAGAATTGTGTGCTTTATTTGTTTAGGAACTGGCTAAGCGTATCCATGTAATGGTAAATAACACGTGAAGAATTACTGCATCGAGATTAAACATGGCAATAAGAAAACATCTTGGCCCTGCAGAGTTAAGAGACATATGTTCCTTCATGGATCTATTCAGGGACCGTGTGAGGTTAAGTGTTCAGTAACAATAACTCCCATCTTGTTCTAGATGCACTTAGCGAGACTGTTCTGCAGACAGATGGGGATTTTTACGGTTTGCACAGAACCAGGAGGGACCAGCATTCCCCACACCAACACAGAGAAGTGCGACACACTGAAGGAAGAGGACTTGATATCACTACCCTGCCTGACAACATGACCCGCATAGTGGTGAGTGGGGGTGGGCTAATCATATCGTTCACCATAATGCCTGTATCATTTTTGAAAACCTGTCACTAGCTAATCTGTTTTAAAGACACTTGTACTGGCCTAACATGCTTGGAATAGATCAGGCCATTTCTACATACAGGACATGGTTAAACCACACACTCCAGCACGTGCACTTCACTCACCATTGGTCAATTGGCTCACTAAACCCTCACTACGAGTGGGACCCAGGTACCATTCAACAAAAAAATGTCTGTTGGCTTTCCTGGCTGCCAAATGGTTGAAAGAGCTGCCCATTGATATCAGGACAGGACATCACAGATTGTAAACCCACCAATTTGTACTGCACCAAGGCCATTTAAATGAATCACAAAAAAATTGTACTAAAATCAGGAAGTGTTTTTTAAACGAATGAACTTTGATTTTTGATGTTCTGAGTTTGTATCTTCATGGTTGGTTGCACTGACTGAAAGTCATTGGAAAAAAGTAAATGAAATGTAATGTAATTATTAATACCATATTGTTATGTAAGTGGCTATGCACTGCTCACCTTAAACAGAGTTTGGGAAGTTATCCAAAATGTTGTCAAACTGTGAGAAACAGTAAAAGACTTGAGGGATGAAGACTAACTGGTTGGTTTGGCAAATGTACATTTGGTTAACCACCCAGTTTCTGTTAAAGAATAGCTCACAGTCCTTTGCCTGAGTTTTTAAATAGAACCATCTGGAACTGTCTTGCACACAGTAGATGAGACCAACCCGAACATGGCTAGTTTGAACTCTTGTTACAGTGCCATCCATAAAGACAACAAGATATAGCGTTGGAGCCGGGATCCTATTCATTCTTATGAAACTTGCTCAATGGCGGATGAAGTAAAATCTAACTATTACAAAAATACTTAGATTATCCAAGGATCTGAGAACATAAAGCATGCGTACATACATGTTTTCTCTCGCCCCGCATCCAATCCGCTGCGTCATCGCTGTTCTTGGCTCAATCAAATGAATGGAGTGGGAAATTATCAATGGATTCGGATTTTAGCGCATTTGACATCTTTAGGTCGTAATGATTTAAATATGGTCTATGCAAGTGTGTACTAGATAGTTGATTTAGCTCAATAAGAAATATGCACTGATTTACAGACATCTCGTTCCCAATGTAAGTTGATGGGAAAACGTATTTCTGGGCCAAATGGCATCCTTTGACACGGAAGTTGTGGTACTGCCGTTTGTCCACTAGAAAACGCTTCTTCATCACCTGCCGCTCTTTCTGGGAGCTTGCGTCGTCTTCTTACATAGCTATCTACCTACATAGCTACAACCATGAAACATTTAAATAGAAAATTGCCACAGAAATTGTTCCTAGCTTTCAGTCATGAAGGTTCTACAAATGGCTGGGTTCTTATATCTTCATGAAAAACATGTTGTCAATTGCTGATTTTATTTTACCTAAAATGAGGTTGGAATGATAAGAATGAAAATCATGACTGATTATTTTTGGAAAATAATACTCCTTCCAAAAAAAAATTGGCAAACATATCACAATGTCAGGCTGTATGAATTAAGTGAAACTGATAGGTTATTATAACTAGGGAGTTATTTGCGGGCATTGTAAAAGCTTTAATCTGAATATTATTGGGTCATTATCTTAACACTATGCTTGAGCGGAATATTGTTATTCTCTCAGGTAACCTTTTGCATCAGTGTGTTTCTGTGTTTGAGTGTATATGAAGGGTTTATTTGTAAACTCTGTCTCTTTCTTTCACTTCAACCTCAGTAAAATTCAACCAAAATAAATGGTTTTGTATGTTTTGTTTTTTTAATTTACCTCTCAGTCCAATTCAAATTGAAAACAGACGACAGCCTAGTCCTGCCAATTTACAGTGTTTGTTAAGCGTGAGTATGTGCGCGTGTGCATGTGTGTGTGCTCGTGAATGACTCACTTGGACAAGATCACACGCGGCCCTGTTGTATGGCTGCTGTTGCCTTTTTGGGGGAGGTCTGATCCCAGTTTCAAAAACTCTCCACCTCTTTGGCCAATGGGAGCTTCTTTAATGAATCGGTCAGCTGTGAGGGGAAAAGTATATGATTGTTGCCTTCTATTCAACTAGAAAACCCACACCCCCCACTAGAAGACACTGGCTGGTGACAGGCAATAGAGATGTGAGAAAAAAAGTGGGTCACTTGCTGTATATGGAGCAGCCGGAGAGGCAGTGAGAGCGCTGCATTTAACTGCTCCACTTTCTGAGCTCACACTAAACCCCAGAACCATTGCTCTCTGTCACCTTGAACTGTGGCATACATTAATAACACCATCAAGAACTGAGAGCTGTGCGTAGTCAAAGCACTGAGTTTGATGTGTAAACAGCTCCCCCAAGTGGAACTGTTTGGATAGAAATAGAAGAGAAAGATCCCAGATGTCTGGTGACGTCGTATCCCACCAATCCCTTAACACAGATCTCCCCTTTGATCATTTTTGGGTCATCCCACATTAACTCACAAAGACCTCCCAGTTCATGTAATAGACTTCCTCAATAGTTTTAACTTTTTTGCAACCACATTTTTAAGCTGTGAAGTAATAATATTTGTCTTTTTATTCTAGATGCTATTTGGTCCTGGATGAGATATGCTTCAGAAATGGCTAAATAAAGCTTTTTAATAAAATGTTGCCACATATTTCCAACCAAAAAGTTGGGTGCTTTATCGTATAATCAGCATAGTGGACATCGCCAGAGAAACATGATTCAATGTTTCCCCTAGGTTTACTGCTTTGGGGGGGTGTTGTTGTGATATTTTATTTTTTTAAATCCTCTGGAGCAGAGAGAGGAGCTGTGGATTATTGTTATTGATTAATGGATCAGTGTTTCTTAGGGTGAAAAACACTAAACTCATAACTTAAAATGAAAGTGTTTAGTTTATATAATAAAAGAGCACATGCTCAATGTGAAAAGCAACAGTAGATAGATTAGTTGCAATTTGGTGCTATAAATATGTATTATAAAAAAATAAAAAAACACCTTGAATTTCAGGGGGGGCGCGGGGCTCCGTTGGCGGAGCGCAGCACCCCTCCAAGACAATGGTAGGGGAAACACTGTATTAAACTCACATCAAACACGATTTTGAAAAAACATGATTTGATGTTTTTTCGTACCTTACGATTCCTTAGATTCATTGAGCTGTTCGCAGGGTGCTGATCCCCCGGTTGAAAAACACTGTTCTCATGTCACACTGACCCTGGTCCTCTCTGATCCACCATCACGGGCACACTGGATCATACTGTATCATGGCCAAATGTCTGAAAAACATAAAATACACAAAACAAATAGATACATTAATGATTATAAAATGAGTACTAGGGCAAAATAAATACCCATTTTTTAAATCACAATTTCTAATCAGAAGACACTGTGAAAACATTTTAAAGGTTAGTCAGTGTCAATAGGCAGACTGTAACATGACTGTCAGCAGCCTTGCTTGGCTGCAGCTGATTGCAATTCATTCTGAAAGCTGAACCTTCAAAACTCTTGTCTGTCATCTTGTTTATATGTTCCCCACATGCTAAGCAATAAAAAGCACTTGATTATGATTGGGAAAAAAAAAACTGTAGATACCTTAAAACTTATACCACCAAACAATACACTCTAAACACCTCCCGCTGAATAATGTCAAATGAAAAACTTCACTTCTAATGAGTGACCTGTTTCTGTAAGGAGGACTCCCAGCGGTACTACAAATGGCAGAGCTTTGGTCCAGCAGACAGACGAACGGAGGAATTGTGGGTAAATCTGAACAGCCTTCACAAGAGCCAAGTCCAGATCCACGGCATACTGTCCAACGCACATCGACAAGCAGCGGTAAAAACAATTGCACACACACGCACACACTGAACCAAGAAACACCAAGAAATGTCTGATGTGTTTTCTTTTCACAGAGGGTGGCGCTGTCTTTTGATTTCCCTTTTTATGGACACCACTTGAGACAAATTATCATAGCGACAGGGGGTGAGTATCACTTTACATTCCTTAATAATGCAGCAGTGCTTATCTACATTGCTCTTCCAATCAGGAAATTAAATTACTACCAGTATGTTGAATGAGACTTCATCCCACCCTGGGGAAATATTCGGGCATATCAAGCAAAAAATGAATCTGGTTAACTGTAAACACCTTAATGTTTTGATGACTTGAATTGCTTAAAGGCTTGTCCTAAGTAAACAATCACGCGAGAGAGAGAGAGTTAATGGTTGATTTAACACATTTTTGGAATCTGATAATAGATTTCCCTCTCATAAAGACATCAATTGACAACAAACACTGCATAGTAGAATGGCTTGGTATTGTTTACATCTTTCACTACTACTGCCAATACAATACCAGAGTTTTGGCGAGAATAAAAAAGACAAAACATGTCATTTAAATTAGAATATCTAAACAAAGAGTAAGTGAACAAGATTTCAAAATTTACCAAATACCATATCATATACCAGCTTTCAGTTCTCAACAGATTTTGATACTCAGCTACAAACACGCACTGGTCACAAAATGGTAAAAATACATTTTAAATATGAAAACATTAGTATTTAATTGATACAAACTTACAACACAATTTTAACATCTGTACTACCTGCCACCAGGATTCATCTTTATGGGAGATATTACTCATCGGATGCTGACTGCCACGCAGTACATCGCTCCCCTCATGGCCAACTTTGACCCCAGCTATGCCAAAAACTCAACAGTGAGATACTCGGACAACGGTAAGTGAGGAGCTCCTGTGGCAGAGTGTGATGTGTGGGAGCTCCTGGTTTTCTTTGACCAGCCTGTGTATCCTGCTCTGCTCAGGTAATGTATTTGTGGTGCAGTGGGACAGCGTGTCGCTTAAGGACCGAGAGGCCGAAGGACCTTTTACTTTCCAGGCAGTCCTCAACAAAAACGGAACCATTGTGTTCAACTACAGAGATGTGAGTCATGTTTTTCAAGTCCTTGTTTTCTTAATGATATACTTCTGAAAGGTGTTAAAACTAAAGATGGTATTACTTCAGATCCCTATACCAGTGGAGAAAATGAATTCCACTGAGCATCCAGTAAAAGTGGGACTGTCCGATGCTTTCATGGCACTCCCTCCCCCCTTGCAGGTCTCAGGTGAGTTCTCTAAATAAAGTGTTTTTATTATTATTATTATTATTATTATTATTATTATGTAGATGTATAGCTGCTGCTTTGACAAAACATATAGTTTCTTGATAGGGTTTTCTGTTATGTTTGTATTTTTCTTCAAAACTACAATCGACTAGGGTCCTAAATGAACACACGATAATCTACCACATTTTTTGTAATAATATTGTTATTCAGTGATAGGTTTCTGTCTGAGCTTTCCTGCGTTTTTTTAAAAAGTATATAGGGGAATATTTAGACATACCGGTATTTAAAATAAATCTTATCATGGGATTGCTTGCTTATTTTGCCAGCTCGGGCAATTGAGTCAGATAAAAGCATGTACTGTATACAGAGTGCTGACTGAGATTACTTATTGAGCATTCAACTCTAAATAAATAATATCTAAGGATGATTATTTTCTGAAACTTGGATGTTATAAAGAAATACTGGGATTTGAAGCCGGTTTTAAATGGGTTATAAAAAGGTGGAATGGACCACAGTCTTTAGCCTTTAAATCCCACAGAGCAGAAACATAAATCTTTCAAACATACTAACATTTTATATTTGTCTTGAAGAAGCGCAGCGCCGTACTATCTATGAGTATCACCGTGTTGAGATGAACATCACAAAGATCGTAGGGAGATCTGCTTTTGAGTTCACGCCTCTGCCCAGTAAGTATCCTTAAAAACCTTTTAGCCTTTACGTGAGTCTCATTGTTTAACTGTCTAACTTTAGACACTGTATCTGATTCCTCCAGCCTGTCTCCAACACACATCCTGTGATCTCTGCATAACATCCAACATGACAACCGGCTGTGGCTGGTGCAACACACTTCAACGGTAGGACGAAACTCCAAAAGATTTATCTTGGAATTAATCCATAGAGAGCCTTGCTCTATTGATTTTTTTCTCACTGGGTTTCAGATGTTCCGACGGTATCGACCGACACAGGCAAGAGTGGTTAGATTATAACTGCCCTGAAGAGGTGAGATACATTTCCCATCGTACAAACATAGAAATAATGAGCGGTTGTTTCGTATTTTCTTGAGTCGAACTGTGGTCATTTACTCAGGCAAAAGGCTCATGTGAGGACTACATCCCGGTACTACCTGAGGGATCCATGAGCTCCTACAACCAGTCCTCTCCAGGTCCAACACCTTCTTCAGCGGAGATGGAAGGGCAACCGGTCACTAGAGGTAAACTCCTCTAAAGCTGACGCTAGAGGAAAAGAGATAGAGATGTATGTTACTTGATGGTGACTTGGATTCAGATTTTTCCATAGATTCCATGGTTTGACAATATTATAAAAGTACAACATTTCATACTGTCATGAAAAGACTGCTAGAAGTTCTGGACTTTTAGAATTTTCCCTGATTTCTGACACAAATTTAGATTAGAAAATAAGAACTTAAGAACAAGAAAATTGAAGAATGCAACCAAAGTATTTACACAATTCTTCAGAAAGTTTACAGAAGCTCAAAAACTAAACCAAGTTTTAAAAAGGGAAACAGTCGTGTAACAGGAGAAGCAAAATAAATGCCCTCCTCTACATTACCTAAACATTACAACAGTTATATAATATAATAATTAACAATTCTGGTTTATTAGAACTCACTTTTGACCTCTAGGCTGAACTATGCTGTGTGTGTGGTATTGCTCGAATAAAAAAAAGATACTTTTTTCTGTCTTTTCAGATTTACAGTCGAGTCCACCCCACCATACGGGGATAACGGAGAACACGGCTATCATAGCGGGTGTAGTGGCAGCACTGGTGGTGCTTGTAGTTCTGACCTTACTGGCCGTGTACTACATCAACACACACCCCACCGTGGCCCCACCCTTCTACCTCATGCAGGTGAGGACAACAAAGTAAAGTCATGCATTACCAGAGGTTTTTTTGGGGGTTTAAAGATAACAAACATGCTCATGTATGCAGTGGTGGAATGCAACTAGGTTTATTTGCTCAAGTACAAATTAAAGATATTTTTACTCAATTCAGACAATTTGACAGTTTAAGTTACTTCACACTCTATTTAGAAACAAATGCGAATATCTTCGCATTTGATAGAATGTTTATATAAAGTATAAGAAAAAGAAACCCTACAATCCAATTAAAAGAGGTGTCCTTCTTAGTATAACAATACTGCATTGTTTTTTTTATCAACATAAAATGCAGAATTTTCAATGAAATATTAATATAAAAGATACTAAGTCCCTGTTCGTGTTCATGCTTCCATCATTTTACTTTTGTAATATTTGCAATGCAGGACTTTTACATGTTACCAAGTAGTTTGCACTGTATACTTTTACCGCAGTAATGTATCTGAAAACTTCCTCCACTGTTGCATGTTCGTCTGCAGCCTGGCCTTTAGCAACTACCGTCTGCTTTCACTGTCTGTTGTTTGTAGCGACGCACCAATAACTACTGGCCCTCCATGACGTTCCGCAACCAGGGCTGTCACTCCAGCTACGCCGAGGTGGAGCTAGGGGGTCATGAAAAGGAAGGCTTCATCGAAGCCGAGCAGTGCTGCTAAGAGTCCTGGACTTGCAGGACTAGAAGAAAGGACGACATCTTGAGGATTTCAAAGATATTACAGGGGGATGAATATGGACGATAAGGCCGACCATCGACAGTCCCTACTTCAAACTCTGCACCTGGACAGGGTTTTCTGTAACTGCTCTTGTAGCTTTGCCAGTTTTCTCTGTGTGTTTTACTCTTTGCCATCACACAGGGGATCTGTCATATTACTCAAGGGTTTAGGGTCTGATAGAAAGCCGACTGTACGAAATGATGAGATGCGGATGTCAGGGAATAAATCAAACTAGCCTTCATACTGCAAACCAACATACAGTTCAACATAACAATGTGTTTTTTTTGTGTCATTCAGTAAATGAAGTTACTTTTGTTTCTTGAATCTTCCACGCGACCAACTGGTTGGTTCATATCATGTTATATCTCTGTGGAATTCACTATAACAGATATTTAGCTATGTAACGGATAGTGTTTATAATGTCATCTTGAAGTTCTCTGGAAATATTGTTTGGATGAATTTTAGAAGCATCAAGTTATGAGGGTTTTCTTTTAATGTTTCTGTTTAATTGTCTTCCAATAAAAACTGATGGTGAGTGTTGACATGAATCTCATGCTTGGTGTAGATTTGAAAAAGAAATGGTACCATTTTGGCCTATATTAGAACAGGATTGCTGAGAAAAATGTGACATATGCTGGTCATTGTCAAGTGAGTGCCATCAGGAAACAATTTATTTAATTGGTATGAAAGAGCTCTAAATGCTCTCGCTCATTGTAAATATACTAACAAACTAATCAACATTGTTTTTGCTCACATTAACACTGGCATCTAATTCAATTTGCCAACTAACTTTTGAATAAAACAAATGTCCGATCACAAGTGAGGTATTGATGATTAAAATGATTGCAAACATTTATCCTAAACTGAATGGTATTCTAATATTGAATTTGTTCCTAATACCCTGGTTTGTTTTTCTTACTCTTACCTAAACTAAGCATGTTTTATTGTAAGGAGAATTTGTGGGGGCCCTGTCTTAAAGCTAAACGCTTTACATTATATAAGTGTAAATGTTCATGTTAACGAGACAATATGATTTCTGACCATTCTGCGCACTAATTCAAAGTGACTCGTGACCAAAAAACTAAAGAGAAGCATAGGTAAAACAGAATCACTATGGGACTGGTGAAAAACAAACAATATACAGGACTGTCTCAGAAAATTAGAATATTGTGATAAAGTTCTTTATTTTCTGTAATGCAATTAAAAAAACAAAAATGTCATACATTCTGGATTCATTA